TATGAGTGTGTTTGCGTGATTGTGCGCGTACATGCACGTTCATGGTATATGGATTCACGTAAACTATGTACATGCACATCCTCAAAGAACCTGATTTTCTGTGTCCTTTCTCACCTGGCGTACTTTTGTCTTTGTTGTGATTCATGTAACGTTCTTTTTTACTTTATCATTCTCCCAGAATCTCTTTTATTAATTTTTGATATGATGTCGTTAGTCTCAGCGGGAATATCGAAAGTCTATGCTCCTCCACTTCCCTTTTCATTTTTCTTTTCTTTCTTTGCCTCTTTGTGTCCTTTTAATTGCGTCCTCATGCCTTTTTCTGTTCCTTCTCGGTATATGTCTTCTGCCCTTCGCTCCTGCTCTTGTTCTGGGAACTTCGATGTATTTTTTTTGTTTGTTTCTCTCGACTCTTCGTCTTCCATCTCTCTCCCTCTCTCTCTTTCTCTCTGTCTCTGTCTCTCTCTCTCTCTCTACACACACACACACACTCACGAACACACACATACACACACACACACACACACACACACACACACACACACACACACACACACACACACACACATATACATATATGTGTATGTATATATCTATATCTATCTATCTATCTATCTATCTATCTATCTATCTATCTATCTATCTATATATATATGTATATATGTTTCTGTCTCTCTCTATCTTTCTCTCTCTCTCTGTATACAGATATATTTAAATTAATTAATTAATTTATTAATTTTCTTACTTTTCCATCCATTTCTCACATTTTTCTTCTCATCCACCCAATATCTCGTTTTCTTTATTCTCCTCCACCCACTTTTTCACTTCATCTTCTGATCCACCAACTCTCTCGTGTTTGTTGTTATTGCTATTGTTTTTCTCCACCAGCCACTTTCTCCGTCTTCATTTCTTCATCCAACCTTTTCTTCTTCTCTTTCTCTTTTTTCTTGTAATGATCCTTCTTATATGTACTTCGTCTTGCTCTTTGTTTTCTATTAATATTATCTTAATTATCACAATTTCAATTTCTTCACCATTACCCTTTCGCATTTTTCTTTTTTTTCTTATAGTATATAATTTTGTTCTATCTATCTTTCATCTTTATCTATCTTATTGATATTTCTATACATATTTGTCTCATTCTTGTCCTTCTTCCTTTCTCATCGCTTCCACCTCCTTCATCGTCCTCCACCTCCTACTCCTCCGCCAGCTCCAACTCCTCCGCCACCTCCAACTCCTCCGCCACCTCCTCCTCCACCTCCTCCTCCACCTCCTACTCCTCCGCCACCTCCTCCTCCACCTCCACCTCCAACTCCTCCGCCACCTCCTCCTCCACCTCCTACTCCTCCGCCACCTCCTCCTCCACCTCCTCCTCCACTTCCTACTCCTCCGCCACCTCCTCCTCCACCTCCTCCTCCACCTCCTCCTCCACCTTCTACTCCTCCGCCACCTCCTCCTCTCTCTCCTTCCTCTGCGCGTGCAGCCTCTCATGCCCCCTAACCCCCTCTCTGCCCCCCCCCCCCCCCATCTAAAGTGCTCCGCATGCAGCCCCCTACCCACCTCCCCTCCACCCCCCTCCTCCTTCCCACCCCCTTATACCCTCCCCGTTTCCTGTCTTCAGATAAGCTTAGATAAACTTAGAAGATCATAATAGATCATTCTTGAAGAAAGAGAGTAGGCTTTTTATCATCTTATTATATTTTAAAAGATATATTTCTTTTACCTTTGATTTGCTGTTTCTTGATCTATTCATTGTGTTCGTTTGTAATATACTTGTGAATATAAGCATGTTAGAAAACCTCATTCTGCCTTTTATAACTCTTTTTATACATTAGTATTTATTATTTGATCAGTTTATGTAATCTGTTTAAGTTCGTAATTTGTCCATTAATCTATAGATATTCTTTTCCCTGTAATTCCGTTTACGGATATATATTGTTTGATTATTGATTAATTTATCTATCTACTCTTATCAATTACTGAACTCTACATATTCATTTATCTTATTCGTTTATTTTCTTTATCGTATTTGTTGATCTGTCTCTGAATATTACTTACCTATTTTTGTCAGTTTATTTTCTAATTTCCTTTATCTAGTATTATATATATCTATTCATTTATGAAAGTAATCATCCCGCTTTTCTATTACAGATATGCGTATTTCTATCCATTACTCCATCCTCAGTAACGGCCTTAGTATTTACGAGGCTAAGCAAAAAAGGTCAGGAAATGGCCGTTCAAGACGCGCTGACCTTGAATAGGAGGAGGACAGTGTGAAAACCTGTCGGACGAGAAGGTGGGATGAAGTGGGCTGAGATAGGTCGAAGTGGGCAGCGGTGGGCAGACGTGGGCTGATATGGGCTGGCGTGGGCTGGAGTGAGTTGAGGTGGGTAGGCGTGGGATGGCGTAGGTTGAGGTGGGCTGAGATAGGCCGAAGTGGGCAGCGGTGGGCAGACGTGGGCTGATATGGGCTGGCGTGGGCTGGAGTGAGTTGAGGTGGGTCAGCGTGGGATGACGTAGGTTGAGGTGGGCTGAGGTGAATTGAGGTGTGCTGACGTGAGGGAAGGTGGCTGAAGTGGGTGAAGAAGAAATGAGGTGGAGTGAAGTGGGATAAATTGGGGGGGGGGGTAAGGATTCAAGTGGGCAGCGGTGGGTTGAAAGAAAGTCGAAGTGGATTGAAGTGGGCTGAGGTGGGGTAAGGTGGATGGGCGAAGTTACAGTTGTTTCATGCAGCCCGACCATCGGCCTATCTTTCAACTTTTTTTTTTCTTTTTTTTAATCATATAAGGATGTTTTTGTTAATTGGTGGGCATATGTCATTTCTATTTTCATTTATCTTTCGCCTTTTCTCTCTCTTCAGTCTTTCAATTTCTCTATTCCTCCCTTTCTTTTTCTTACCGTATGTCTATATCTGTCTGTCAATCAGTCTTTCTGTCTGTCTGTCTGTCCGTCTGTCTGTCTGTCTGTCTGTCTGTCTGTCTGTCTCTCTATCTGTCTGTCTGTCTATCTATCTGTCTGTCTGCCTGTCTGTCTCTCTGTCGCTCCGTCTGTCTGCCTGTCTGTCTATCTGTCTGCCTGTCTGTCTGTCTCTCTGTCGCTCCGTCTGTCTGTCTGTCTGTCTATCTATCTGTCTGTCAGTCAGTCAGTCAGTCAGTCAGTCAGTCAGTCAGTCAGTCAGTTAGGTAGTTTGTATGATTCTCTCTCTCTCTCTCTCTCTCTCTCTCTCTCTCTCTCTCTCTCTCTCTCTCTCTCTCTCTCTCTCTCTCTCTCTCTCTCTCTCTCTCTCTCTCCAATGAACATTGAATTAGTCAAGGTAACAATAACAATAGAAATTATTGTTAGTAAATATGACAATAACAATAGTAATGAGTGTGATAATTTGAATATCATCACTGTTGATAATGATAACAGAAGTGTTAGTATAATGGTAAATAAAAGACAATGTTAATAATGATACTGATAAAATCATGAAAACTAGACTCATGACCACGATTTTCATCATTAAAGTAATAGTGCCGCTGTTATCCTAATCTACCATCTTTATGATTTGATTTGCAGTATTTCTATATATTACAGAGATTTTGAGAGCATTAGTTTTAACCCGAAATCGAGGGAAAAAAACGCAAAGAAACAAAAGCCGCGCGCCCGTTCCATGGCGTCAGGCGCTTGTTTCCAAATCCAAATGCAACCGCCTGAAGCCACACCGACCGGTCAACCAGCCTCCCTCCCCCTCACACCCACCCACCCACTCATCCCCGCCCACACGCCCACAACCCCTCCCCCATCACATCTCCTCCCCTCTGTCTCTCGGACCGACCTGCGCCCACACACTCGCCCCTTTCCCCACCCACCACGGAGCTCTTGGTCTCCCCTTGCCTTACTTGGTTCATTCAACCCTCCCCCCCTTCCTCCCTCTACATTCACTTCTGCATGACACCTGTGAGACTGTCATGCAAATGGCACTCTTGTTTGCAGACTCACATGGCTGTTTCTCGTGGATTTGTTATTTACACTGCTGGCCCCGCCCACTCTTCTTCGGCGTTCGTTCTATACCATCCTGCTTGTTGCTTTTTTGCCGCTCTCATACCTTCTCTTCTCCTTCCTCCTTTTCTTTTCTCTCCCTGCTTTCCCCCCACCCCCCATGTTGTACTCTCTCCTCGTTGTGTTTCCCCCCTACCCCCCCTCCTCCCTCCCACTCCCTCGATCTCTGCCTAATGCGTTTTTTCGATCTCCGCATGATCAGCATATCGTCCTTATCGCCAGCATTAGCATCTTTATCTCTGTTCCTTTTTTATTCGTTATCCCCTACTTGGCTTCGCGTTTGGCTCGCTCACTTCTTTAGTCTACTGAGAAAGAAAAATGGAATGAAAGGATGTTGCAGAAGTTATGTCCATGTATGTATATATATTTTAATGCTAATCAGCTGTGAGTGCATGACGTTTTATCTCTTGATCGCTGCCATGCATTGCTTCCGAGTCTCAGGTGTCACCTTCTGAAGCGAGTGCCTTGAGGATTCATGCATGAGATGGGGAGGTAGGGGAGGGGGAGGGGGGTTTAAGGCCTACTCTCTTCTCTCTGTTACTGAACCAAGTTGTCGGTTCACGAGTGCACGATTCACTATGCCCCCCCTCCCCCACCTAATCCTGCCCTATTAACATGTAACACTTCCCGCTATGGTGTCATTTTCTCCTTTAAATTTCCCTCTGTCGCTAGAGAATTTTCCTGCTTCCTCACTGGTTTACTGTTTCACCATCAGACTGTCATTTCCACTTTCACCATCACCATCCCGTCACCATCTCACCGCACAATTGCTGCTTCCTCGCACCACACCATCTCACCACCTCCTCACCCACACACCTCAACCCCCCACCCCCCGTCTGCCTGCTCACTCCCCACCCACCCCCTTACCCCTTTTCCACCCTCCCACCCTCTACCCACCTCCTCGCCCGCTACCCACCTTCTCTCCCGCTACCCACCCCACCGCCGCCGCCGCCGCCGCCGCCGCCACCAGAACCCACCCCACAGGTCATGTGACCACAGGGTATAAATACAAGCCGGAGCGCCGACACGTCCCGACTCTGGTCAAGTGTGCGAGGAGGCCTTAATACGACGTCTTCCGCCCGAACAATCCGCCAATATGGTACGTGCAGTGTGAGCGCCTGTCGCCTTGCTTATTGTGGTGGGCGGGGAAGGACGGAGGGCTTTCCCTCTATGGGCGTGATACATCTGTCTTCTTCTGTGCGCCGGGCATATGGGTACGTATGCGCGCCGTGATTCGTCATGCTGTCTGCACTTGAGCGGTTGTTCGTGTTCTTGCGCCTGAACCTCCCGTGATGCCTTGCCCTTAAGCGCTCGCTCGTCCGGGGAAGGTCTGGTTCAGATGCAGATTGAGTGTCTTTTCACCTCGCTCTATGACACGCGGCACTTATTAAGCAGCCGATGACGACGCCGACAGGCTGGCGTGACTGTAAGCAGACAGTTGACAAAGCCAGCTGGCTAAACTAAATTGCTGAGAAGATAATTGAACTCTTGATTAGCGGGAGATGGATGGTGACTCCTCCCCCTCCCCCTCAACTCCGGTGTCCTCTCGTCCCCCCATCCTACCGTCCCCCCACCCACTCACCTCCCTCCTTCCCTTCCTCCTCCCCCTCCTTCCTTCCCTCCTCCCCCTCCTTCCCTTCCTCCTCCCCCTCCTCCCTCTCCCTCTCTTCTCTTGCCCCCCCCCCCACCCCCCGTCCTCCTCTTGCCCCGGACTCTTGCGAAAGCAGACCGCCGTCAGCCCTTGCCTCCCCGCACGCCGCTTACTCCGCGTCCTTCCACCCTTGCCCCTTGCAGACCACGCCCCCTTCACTCTTCCACCCTAGGACCCGCTTGCACGCTCTCCTTTTCAAACGGAACCTGTGTTATGGTCTGGAGATTATTGACGGTTCATCCATGTCTGTTTCGTATGCAATATGACTTGCTTTCATGATAAGCTAAGACGGTAAGATATAGTGTATGTGTGTATATATATATATATATTATATATATATATATATATATATATATATATATATATATATATATATATATATATATATATATATATATATAATATGTATGTGTGTGTGTGTGTGTGTGTGTGTGTGTGTGTGTGTGTGTGTGTGTGTGTGTGTGTGTGTGTATGTATGTATGTATGTATATATATACATACACACACAGACATATATATATATATATATATATATATATATATATATATATATATATATATATATATATATATATATATATATATGTGTGTGTGTGTGTGTGTGTGTGTGTGTGTGTGTATGTATATATACACACACACACACACACACACACACACACACACACACACACACACACACACAGAACTCTATGTGAATGCGTTTGTGAACACACACACACACACTTATATATACATATCTATACACAGAAACACATGCTAGTTTTACTAACTTATATTAATGTATCAAAGAAACAATCTTTCCTTTTACGGGATGCAACGCCGCGCTTCACTTGAAATCGTGATGTAAGTCCTAACACATTTATTTCCCGATGGTCGCTTCCTGCTGCGCTGTGTATCTACACTAAACCACGTTTAGTAATGAGACTTGATATGGCATAATAATTTTTCTTTGTTGCATCTGACTTATTCACTGATTCACTTATCCAGAGGCAAACTTGTTATATTATGCGCTTCCACGACTGCGCGTTGCGTTGGCTACACTGTGTGATGTGCTATCCGGTTGCGTTGATATACTGATATTGTATATTCTTATTTTATGCTTTATACCTTAGTTTGTAATTCATTCGGCGTTTTTATTCTGGTTAACATGACCCTGTACTAAAATAGATTAAGTAGAATTACAGATTAGATGGGATCTTTTAGCAAGTGAAAGACAGGTGGATATGAAGATATATACAGAAAGATAATGGCAGATAGATGGATAGAAATGAGATTCCCTCTCTCTCTCTCTCTCTCTCTCTCTCTCTCTCTCTCTCTCTCTCTCTCTCTCTCTCTCTCTCTCTCTCTCTCTCTCTCTCTCTCTCGCTCTCTCTCTCTCTCTCTCTCTCTCTCAAATATAAAGTAACACCCTCCGTTAAAAACAAATACACACATATAACCACACACACACATCCATACATCCATCCATCCATCCATCCATCCATACATCCTCACACACACACACACACACACACACACACACACACACACACACACACACACACACACACACACACACACACACACACACACACACACACACACACACACACGAGTAAACACACTTTAATACACATACAACAGACGACACACATGTACCCTGTTACCCCTTTCCCCACCGCCCTTCCCCTCACCTCCCCTCCCCTCCCTTCCCCTCCCCAAGTCTTCCTCTCAAAATCTACTCCTTCCATAACAGACCATCTACCCTCCCCCTCCTCCTCCCCCTCCCTCTTCCGTCCCTCCCGCTACTTACATGCCACTCGCCCACTCACTCACCCACCCACCCACCCACACTCCCACTCACCCACTCACCCACCCTCCCACTCAACCTCCCACCCACTCGCCCACCCTCCCACCCATCCACGCACCTACCCTCACACCCTTCCACCCATCCACTCACCCACTCACCCACACTCCCTCCCACTCACCCACCTACCCACACACCCATCCACCCACCCTCCCACCTACCCACACACCCATCCACCCACCCTCCCACCTACCCACCCACCCACTCGCCCACCCACCCACCCACCCAAATACAGCCCCCCTCCCCCCTACCTTCATGTTCAGTGTGCACACCCTTTAAGCTTCAGTTACTAGGCAGGACCTTATCTAAGGGAGAAAGAGAGAGCGAAGGAGGAAGAGGAAGGGAAGGGAGACAGGACAAGTGAAGTGGAATAACGGAGAGGAGAGGGAGGGAGCAAGAGAGAGAGAGAGAGAGAGAGAGAGAGAGAGAGAGAGAGAGAGAGAGAGAGAGAGAGAGAGGGAGGGAGAGAGAGAGAGAGAGAGAGAGAGAGAGAGAGTAAGGGAAGAAGAATGAGGGAGGAAGGAGGAAAGGCGAATATGGGGGAAGCGGGAGAAGGAGGAACGAAGGAAAGAAGGAAGGAAGGAAGGAAGGGAGGAAAAAAGGAAGGAAGGAAGGGAGGAAAGAAGGAAGGAAGGAAGGAAGGAAGGATTGAGGAATTACGAGGTAGGAAAGAAGAAAAAGGTGGAAATGAAGGAAGAGGGGAGTGGTTTTAGGGCATAATAAGAAGCAGGATGGCAGAGAAGAAGAAATGAAATGGAATAGAAGAAAGGAGAAAAAATGGAGAGAGTTTAGGAGAAAGAAAAGAGGGGGAGGTAGCAGAAAAAAAGAAGGAACGAACAAGAAAGCAAGGGAGATAAAAGGGAAGGAAAAAAAAAGCATAGGCAGGAAAGAAAAGGTAAGCAAGAGAGTCCGATGTGAAGGGGGGGGGGGAGGGAAAAGAGAGGACGACAGGCAGAGGAGAAAACACGAAGGAACGGATGGAGAAGGTTGAAGAAGTGGAAGAGTTGAATACAGGTGAGAAGAGGGCAAATAAGGAGACGAGGATGACGAGGAGGATGAGGATGAAGAGTAAGGTGTGACGTTGGAGGAGGAGGAGGAGGAGAAGAGGAGGAAGTGGAAGAGGAAGAGGAAGAGTAATGGTAAAAGGAACAGTGAAGAGAGAAAATATACTATAAAGCTGCAAAGATAAAAATGTATGGAGATGTACTAACATGAATAACAGAAACAAAAAAGACGAGAAAGAAAGAAAGAAACAAACAAAACACAATAATGAATGAAGGATTTAAGATGAAAAAAAAACAAGGAGATAAATGTAGACAAATGAATGGGAATCAAAAGAAAGAAAAAAGAAGGAAGAGAAAGATGAAGAATGAAGAGTGGAGAGAAAGTACAGAAGAGAAAGGCAAGAGAAATAAATTAAAAAAGGTTGTGGGTGTAACAGATTGAACTTAACTATAAGGATAAAAGGAAAGACAGAAAATGAGAACCCCATTCAAAACAATGAAACAAAAATCATCTTTAAAAAAACGGAAAATAACGCAGGAAAGTGTACAGGAAGGGAGGAAGATGAAGCCTCAGACAGAAGGAAACAGGTTTGGCCGCCATTACCATGAGTGAGAGACAACTCATGACTCTCGGTCTGCATGACTGCCTTATTTGGGTCAATATCATGCGGTTACCCTGCACACCGGCGACTTCTATATTAAGCACATAGTGTAGTCATGCTGCATTTCCAAACCGCCATGCTGTGCTGCTTTTCGATTGGCTGCTGGATCGGGAAAGGAAGTCGCGGGAAGAGTATCGGGAATGAGGAGAAGGAGGAGGACAGGAGGAGGAGGAGGAGGAGGAGGAAGAGGAGGAAGAGGAGGAGGGGAGGAGGAGGAAGAGGGGGAGGAGGAGGAGGAGGAGCAGGAGGATGGGAGGAGGAGAAGGGGGAGGAGAAGGAGGGGAGGAGGAGGGGGAGGAGGAGGAGGAGGAGGAGGAGGAGGAGGGAAGGGTGGGGTGAGAGGAAGTAGGGGGAGGAGGAGGGAAAGAGAAGATGAGTAGGAGAGGAGGAAGCAGAGAAGGGTAGGGCATGGGGTAAGGGAGGAGGAGATGGAGGTGAGGGGATAATTAAGGGGAAAGGAAAGGGAGGGGAAGAAGAGGAGGAAGTGGGAATGAGAAAAAAGAGGAGGAGGAAAAGGGGAGGGTGTAGGGTGGGAGAAGGGAGGGGGAGGAAGGGGGAAGAAGGGAGGGTATGGAATGGGAGAAGTGAAGGAGAAGAGAAGAAGGAGGAGAGGAGATGAAGTATAAAAAGAGAGGGGAAGGCTATGGGGTTGGTATAAAGGGGGGGGGGGGAGGGGAAGGGAAAAAGGTGGACAGGGTATAGGTGCACTAGATAGAAGAGGGAGGAAAGGAAGGAGGAGGTAGAGAGGGATAAGAAAGAAGGGAAGGAGGAAGAAGAGAGGGAGAAGAAAGACGGTAAGGAGATAAAGAGGAGAGATGGAGAAGGGAAAAGAAAAATCTACGCGAGAGAAGAGGCGAAGGAGAAAAAGAAAAAGAAAATGAAGAAGAAAACCAGGAGATAGAATAGAAAGTCGAAGTACAACAGGAAAGGGAAAAGCAATAGAAAGAAAGAACCAGATCTCTATGACAGAAGAACGCTTGATTATCCCCGTATTAGCACTGAAGGCAATGCCACGTCGCTCGTTCCTTGGCGTGGAGGTTAAGTAAATAGGTACTAGGAACTCCGGCCACTTATAGATAAATGAGGAAAAAATATACATTGTATGTAAATAAGATAAGAATAGAGATAAGTAGGTGAGTGATACCTTACAGTTCAAGATAAATAAGGAAAAAATAGCTTCGAACTTTCAGCGATGAATACTCAGCTAGTTCCCTCAAGGACCAGTAGCGCCGACTGCGATCACCATGGTCGTCTGTGATGAGTTAATGATCAGTCTTCTTCGCGGAAAATGCTGGTTTCGTGGAGAGAATTTAATGCCTCGCCAAATAAGGCATCCAGCACAGGTCGCCAGGCATAGGTCGATGTCATCCGGTGAAAGTTTTCATGCTTGAACTCTGTATAATCCCTCGGTGGTCTTTTTGTATTGTTTGTTTCTTTTTTGTGTGGTTTGTATTTATGTTTTCGTCTACACACACTCACACACATCACACTCATATTGAGACAGATAGACACAGACAAGCAGACAGACAATTAGACAACACACACACACACACACACACACACACACACACACACACACACACACACACACACACACACACACACACACACACACACACACACACACATACACACACACACACTCACACATACACAAACCCCCACCCACTCGGCCTCATGAGCGCCCCTTTCCGTTCCAGCGCGAATGCATTTCCATCCACGTGGGGCAGGCGGGCGTGCAGATGGGCAACGCCTGCTGGGAACTGTACTGCCTCGAGCACGGCATCCAGCCCGACGGCACGATGCCCTCCGACAAGTACGTGGGCGGCAGCGACGACTCCTTCAACACCTTCTTCAGCGAGACGGGATCGGGGAAGCACGTGCCCAGGGCTGTCTTCGTGGACCTCGAACCTTCGGTCGTCGGTGAGGCTGCTGTCCAGGATATCTTTCTCGTTGTTTTTCGCCTCGTTTTTCTTTCTCTTTTTTATCAACTCTCTTGTTTCGTTTTTTTTCATCTTCTTTCTTCTCCTTGCTCTTTCCTCTTTTTCTTTCGTCTGCCTATTTTCTTTTTTTTTTATTTATTTTTCTCCTTTTCCATTGCTCTTTTTTCTTTTTAATTGTTCTTCTCACGTTGTCTCCTCTCTTTATCATTCTTCTATTCGTTCATCACCATTATTTCCTTTCTTTCCTCCTCCTCCTCCTCCTCCTCCTCCTCATCATCATCATCATCATCATCATCATTATGATCATCATCATCATCATCATCCTCTCCTCTTCCTCCTCCTCCTTCTTCCCCTCCCTTTTACCTTCTTCCACTCCTCCCTCCCGTATATCTTTTTTATTTTCCTCTTATTTCACTTTACTAGAATGTTGTGAACTATCTTTGGGTCCTAATGCGTTTCAATGGCATTGTATGGACGTCCCCCGAACTTCCCACTCACCTTATGACGTTGGAGGACATTTGGGCGAAAAGTTGCGTTGTCTTCAATGACGTGTGCGGAAAGTTTGGCCTATGGGACATTTTATTCAGCTGTAGACAAAATAGAAAGGTAAATAGGTAGATGGGTTAGATATAAGTAGAAATATAGGACATGTAGAAACTTTAAAAGGGTAAATAGAGAGATGAATTTGATAAAAGTCGAAATATGGAAAATGTAGGAAGGTAAATAGGTAGACGAATTAGATAAAAGTAGAATGATAGAATATAGAAATATAGACAGGTAAATATGTAGATGAATTAGACGAAAGTAGAAATACAGAAAATAAAAATATAGAAATTTAAATAGATCAGTTAGATAAAAATGCACATACAACACTGGCAAAATTAAACGTAAATAGACAGATAGATCAGATAAAAGACATAATATAAAAAATAATGAAATTAGATAAATATATACATCACATAAAAGTAGAAATGTAGAAGATGGAAAAAAGTAAATAGATAGAAAGGTAGATAGATGAATCAAATAAAAGTAGAAAACCAGAAATAAAATAGAAAGATAAATAGACATATAGATTAGACAAAGATAGAAATGCAAAAGACAAGCATAAAACGAGAAATAAAATCACCGGTTCGCCCCAACAGATGAAGTCCGCATCGGCGTGTACCGGTACCTGTTCCACCCCGAACAGCTGATCACCGGGAAGGAAGACGCAGCCAACAACTATGCTCGAGGTCACTACACCATCGGCAAGGAGATCGTTGACCTCGTCCTGGATCGGGTCAGGAAGCTGGCGGATCAGTGCACCGGCCTTCAGGTAGGTCGTGGTAGGTCGTTTAGGTGTGAAGATGGAGTTCGTAGGTGTCGTATGGTAGGTTATGGGTATTGGGTACACACTGGGAATTATGGTGGTCATAAGATGGGGTATTGTAGGCTATGGTAGTCCTAGGGTGGAGTGTTGTAGGTTATGGCTGTCTTTAGGTCAGGTATGGTAGTATTCAAGTGGAGTATGGTAAGTTATGGTAATATTCAAGTGAAATATGATAGGATATGGTAGTATTCATGTGGGGTATAGTAAGTTTGATCATCTTTAGGCGGATCGTATTAAGTTATGGTCGTCTCTAGACTATGGTGGTCTGTAAGTGGGGCGTAGAAGGATATTTGAATCTTTGGACTGGGTATGGTAGATAAGTGTCTTTAGATGCGGTATGATAGAGCTTACTAACGTCGTCTTATATTATATTAATTCATCAGTGACCAAGCAACCGGTGAGTAGGTCATGCAGATGTCACTGTGGACATCACTTGATTGAGATTTGAACCAACCAATAAACTATTTCATTTTTTGGTGGATTTTCAACCATATCAACGCAAATATTCTATGCAACATAGATTACATATAAATTTCCAATTATCAGTAGATGAGTAAGGATGGGTTTATTACTTGATTTTGCTTCTCTATTAATTCCATATGATACATTTGTTTTAATCAATACCAACATAATATCTGATTGTCGTACTATTACGCCCAATTTTGTCTTTATTTGGACTGCCGAAATAACGTCGTTATCTGTTGAGAAATGATATTACAATAAGCAATGTTGACTTGTTTGATAGATACCTTCACTCTCACTCTTAGCGTCATTCTCTCTCCTAGACAGATCGGTAGTATTGACAACTCCATTCCTCGTTATCCATACATTAATTTGCTCCCTTTGTACTCTTTTCCAATCATATCTAATTCTTATCATCCATAATCTTAATTTACATTCCTGCCATCAAGCACGAGCGCGCACACAAACACACACACACACACACACACAGACACACACACACACATAAAGACACATACACACATACAAAGACTCCTTCCTTCCTTCCTTCCTTCCCCCCTCACCCCCTCCCTCTCTCCCTCCCTCCCTCCCTTCCTCCCTCCCTCCCTCCCTCACGACACTGACTCCCCCCCCCTCATTTCCAGGGATTCCTCATCTTCCACTCCTTCGGCGGCGGCACGGGCTCCGGCTTCACCTCCCTGCTCATGGAGAGGCTCTCAGTCGACTACGGGAAGAAGAGCAAGCTGGAGTTCGCTATCTATCCGGCGCCGCAGGTATGTGTTTTCGGCGCCAGTCAGTTTATTCGATCTATCTTTTTATTTATTTATTCATTTATTTATTTATTTTTAGTTTGTTAGGGATTCATCTCACTCTCTGTTTGTTTGATTTCTTTCAGTTTCATTTTTTTTAGCTCTCTCCTTTCTTTTTTTTCTGTTTTGATCTTGCTGGACGTCTGTTCGTTTTGAAAGGTAGAATGGATCTGGAGGAAGGAAAGGGATGGGCGTATATAGTCGCAGGTAGAAATGTAAATTTGGAGGGAGAAGTATTGATGAGTTAGAGAGCTAAATAGGTGGAAATAAAAGGAGAGAGTTATTGGTAGATCGGTAGATAGACTGAATCGATAGAGAGATGAACAGATAGAAAGATTAACATATAGATGGATAGATAACTAGATATGTATGCACACACACACACACATACACACACACATACACACACACACACACACACACACACACACACACACACACACACACACACACACACACACACACACACACATATATATATATATGTATATATAAATATGCATATATGTATATATATATGTATAGTTATGTATATATATGTATATATATGCATGTATGTATGTATGCACACACACAGACACACACACACACACACACACACACATATAGATAGATGTATATATATATACACACATCTATCTATCTATTTATATATATATATATATATATATATATATATATATATATATATATATATATATATATATATATGTATATATATATATATATATATATATATATATATATATATATATATGTATATATATATATATATATATATATATATATATATATATATATATATATATATATATATATATATATATGTATATATATATATATATATATATATATATATATATATATATATATATATATATATATATATATATATATATATATATGTATATATATATATATATGTATGTATATATATATGTGTGTGCATATATATATAGATAGATGTATATATTTGCGTGTGTATATATATAGATAGATGTATATATATACACACATCTATCTATATTTATACGTACATATATATATATGTATAAATATATATATATATATATATATATATATATATATATATATATATATATATATATATATATATATATATATATATACAGAAAGAGAGAGAGAGATAGTGGAGGATTACAATATGAGAATTCTTGTTATAAAAATGTTAAAAACAGTAGATGGAAAAAAAACA